ATTTGTCTTTTTACAGCTGACTCTTACAGTTGATGATCAATCCATCATTTCTTTTCTTACACTTTTCCTTTATTTACTAGTCACTACTCTTACACAACCTCTATATAGTACAGCATTCAGTGACTAGGTTCAGCAGCTTTCATCTTTTGTGATTCTGTCTCACACATTATACTGTCTCTCTTCACCTGCTCAGATCACTACAGTGAACAGCTCATCAAAACTAATCTCATCTGATCTCTGAGTATTCTCAGAGGTCAAGATAGCTTGATCTCACATATCTGTGAATATTTCAGATAGTTCATCCTCTGTGATCTCTGCAATTGAACTAGTGTAAACAGTTAAATCTAACTCTGAATTTCTTTTTCTTCTGTAATCTGATTCACATGCAAGTCTGCTACTTTGAGACTACTCTTTATCACATTGCACTCACTGTCTGCAGTGTGTTATCATACAATCAGCTACAGTCTTATCACTTATTGAAGTGTGATATTCATCTGATTTCTTCATTTCTTTCCATTCTTTTCTTATAATTGTAGAAAGATTGAAATAAGTGAGATCATCTGATTCATAAGCATCTATGATTTCTCTTACTTTATGAGACTTTTCAATTGTAAGTCTCTTCTTTTTCAACACTGATAATAGTGCTGTAGATAATCATAATTCACTCAGATCTTACATCTTTGCTTTCATAAGTTATGAATCATTGATTAAGTTGTATAAGATCTGTTCCTCTGATTCTTTCAATGCATATGTTCTCAGAGAATGTGATTTAAGTATTTTATATAGCTCAAATCATCTAGATTGAAACTTCTCAGAACTCTCATTGTATACAAGAACTTATATTTCTATCTTGAGACTTGATTTCTTAACAAGTGAGTCTCATATTCTTTTCAATTGAATTGCTCAGTTCAGAAGTAACTTGTTAGCTTTTACACATGTGTGACTGATCTCTTTCAATCTTGATTCTGTGTCCATAACTGTTGTATCTGCAACTGCTGTTTCTACTGCATCTGCAACTGCTGTTTCTGCTGTGTCTGCAACTGCTTTCTCCTTCACCTTTTTCAAAGCATTCTTCAGAATGCGCGGATGCAATTCATACAACAGGTAGAATAATGAACACTTGAAGACTGCATACTGTTGAATCCATGTGGTCAATAGCACCTGCCTGAGATATTCATTTCATAGTCTCATAGACTTGTTCACTAGATATTTCATCAGCATGTTGTTCAAGATTTCATTCAAGCATTTCATCTTCTCATTCATCCGCGGATGATATGGTATTGTTCTACAATGTCTTATCTGTAACTGGCTCACAAAATGCCTCATCACTTCTCTCACAAGATTCACACTGTTATCAGTTAGAATCTCGCGTGGCATTTCATAGTTGATATAGATCTCATTATATAGAAACTTCATCATCATCTTCTCTGTCATCTCTGAAACTGCTTTCACAACTGATCAGTCAGTAGTGTAATCAATAGCAGTGATTATTCATTAATTTCCATTTGATGTTCACAGTAATATGCCTATGAGGTTCATCTCTCATCATTTGAACAGTTGTATCATACACTTTATCTGATGTTATACTTTCTCACATTCTAACCCTTTCTTAGATTCTTTCATGACCTGATAATTTGAGCATTCATGAGCATACATCTGAATGTCCTCAGTCATGCTTGGCCAGTATACTCTTGATTTAAGTACACTCATGAGTTCAGAGCTTTCTAAGTGACTGAATTCCTTGTGCATATGAGTCACCAAGTCATGTCTAAATAAAGATTCTAGATAGAGAGCTTCTGCATATCCTAGATCATGATAAAGCACAACATCATTTTTCAATTTTCTCAGCTTGAAGTTCAGAAGCATCTCTTCTACTACTTTCATAAGACACTTGTTATCTGACATCTTGTCATTCTTTAAGTGAGAGATCATGGCATTCACTCATTCTAATTTCTTACATCTTCTCAGTGTGTTTAACATGAACATCTCTTGTACCTGGTTTGCAGGACTCTCACTCATGAAATTGAGTCTGTGACTGATTGCATCAGATATCACTGTGTCTGATCTCTTTCAGTATTTGATATGAAGATTATACACTTGAAACTCTGAGATTCAACATACTAAGTGTTTAAAAGATTTTATTGTTAATTATAGATAGATGAGGCTTTCATAATCTGTGATCACTGTTATTATATGTCTGTTATCAATATATCTATCTCACAACACCAGTGCATGCTTGATTGCTAGCAATTTCTTTTCATGCACTGAATAATTGAGCTCAGTACTTGATAGTTTCCTATCATCATATATCACTGAGTGCAGCTTGCTGTTCTTACTCATCTGTAGAAGAGCATCTTCAATAGCTCATTCAGATGCATCTGTCTCAATGTAGAAAGATTTATTATAATCTGATTGAATAAGCACTGAGAATATTGTTACATGTTCTCTCAGTGTGAGAAAAGCCTCTTCACACACAGCATTTCAGATGATTGAATGAAACTTCTTCTTTCACAGATTTGTATTCATTTCTCTTAAGAGATCTAAGAGTGATGCAGATATTTATGTGAAATCCTTGATGAATCTGCAGTAATATGAGATTAACTCAAGAAACTGTCATATATGGTGTACATTTCTCAGCTGTGGTTAATTTGCTATGACATTCAATTTCTTCAGAATGAGGTGTATACAGTCATCACTCACTACATATCTCATGAACTTCAACTCTTTCATTTCAAACACATACTTGATTGATTTGATGTAGAGCTTATACTCTGTCAGAGTTATAAGTACTTCATTGAGATACTTCAGATATTCATTGTATGAGTTTGAAAAGACTAGAATATCATTGAGATATACAAGGCATGAGGTTTCATTCTGTTTATAAAGAATCATATTCATCATTGTTTAAAAAGTGATAGATACATTTATCAGACTGAATAGCATTGTCAGAAATTTAAACTTCTCTCATTGTATATTAAACATAATTCACAGAACTGACAGTTTATCTACATGAATCTATCAGTATTCTGAGAGAAGATCAATCTTTAATAGATATCAGGTGTTTCTGACTGTATTCAACTATTATTGAATCTGTGACAGTGAATATTCATTCTTGATCATAAGCTTGTTAAGTGCTCAATAATCAATACACATCTGTCACTTCTCACTCACCTTTTTCACAAATAGAACTGGAAAGCCTCATGTGCTTGATGAGAATCATATGAGATCACATTCTAGAAGGTCTGTGATCTGACACTTCTGTTCTTCAAGATGTGTTTGTGACAGAGAGTATGCATTCTGATTGACTGATTTTGCATCCCCTGTGTCAATCTCATATATGAATTCTCATTCCAGCAGTAATTTCAGTGAAAGATCTGTTCAGAAGACCTTTCTATGCTTCTTCAGAAGCTTCTTCATACACTTATTCTCTCATATATTCTTTATCTTAGTTTTCTTCACTTTCAGGTCCTGTATGACATACAGAATGCTTTCAGATGAGGTCTTGCAAATCATTCTTTTTACTTGTTAATGTATAAGCAGATTTAACCCTTCTATATCAGAGACATGAAATGTCCTTCTCATATCAGTTGATAGAATTGTATGAACTATTTTCTTTCTATCAGTCAACTGCATATGGCATGTACGTCATTGAATCTGCAGATTGAACCTTTGAAATCAATCAAGTCTGAGAATAAGATTGTATTTCACATTCTGCAGCTCTCATGCTTAAATATAGCAAGACTATTCTCTGAAGTGCAAGGGAACTCTTACTTTTGCAGGTGATATTAAATATTGATTATCAGATAATCTTATGCATCAGAGATTCTTCACTCAGCAGATCTCTTTCAATCTTCAGATTATATAATTATCAATATATTGTGTTGAAGCTTCTGTGTTCACTAACACTTTTGCAGCTATCTCTCAATTCTTACTCAAGTGTCTCTTATACATTAACATTTCAGGTCTCAAGGCATTGAGATGAGTGTTCACTTCATTCTCACTCATACCTCAGTCAGAAGCCTGCTTCTTCTTTACATTTACAGAATTCAGAGAGTCATCTAACACGGGCATCTCTTTCACTTTGAAGACTTTTCATAGAATATCAGTGAGTGCCTCTAAGCTCACTGATTCTGCTAGTTTTTTAACTGCACACACTGAGTGCAATCTTTTGCATCATGATTTTAGCATCTGCAGTTGAAACAAGCTCAATGCTCACAACATCAAGGTTTTCACTCAAAGAATTTCTTTTTCAGAGAATTCAGTGCTTTAGTGATGACATTCAGATCTAGATTCATTATATTCAGATGTGTGACTTGTATTGTAGAAGTCTGATTATTCATTCTTCACTGAGATATACTTGATTGCAGTATTTTCTATTGCAATTGACTCACTTGTTTCTGTATAATGAGAATGTTGTATACTTTCTTCACTGTGCCTGGCTGTGAGGTTAAGCATTTTCATTCTACTCTCAACTCAGATGTGAGATCATGAATGAAGATCTGTAAACAGAAAGATGTTGAAAGCTCTTCATTCAATACAAGATAGTGTAAGCTGAAGTGTGTGAAGTATGATATAAGATTACTCACTTATCTACACTCAGTGAAGTGTTCATAACACTTATCTCATACATTCACTTTCTCAAAGTTGTGCAAGATTCATTTGAAAAACTCATTTCATGTTTGTGAAAATGAATATTACTTCAGATCTGTGAGATTCATCTTTTCATCAGTCATTTATAATGACTTTGCTTTTTCATGTAGAAATATAACAGATCTTAAGACTTGTTGAAATTCTGTTAACTGTCTGTCTGTAAGTTCATGTTCAATTCAATAATATAATTACATCTGACTTAGCCAGCTGATTGCAGCATTATTTTTTCAGTCACTATTAAAGCTTAGTAACTTCAGCAGATCTTCTGACTTGATATATTTCATGCTCAGATTCTCATTCTGCACAGCAGTCTCTGATAATATGTACACTTCTGAAGAGATTGTGAATGATTATGATGAGATCTTCAGATTCAGCATAGTCATCTGTCTGCATAAACATTCAATCTCCTGCTGCAGGCCTAAGATCTGGTTTTCTCTATTCTTATTAATAGTGATGATTGCGTCAGTGAAGCTCTTCATAGTGAATGCTTGATCTGCAGTGAATGTCAATTGTTGTTTGATTTTCATCTTGGCCTGCCACTGTGTACGCAAGGCCTCAATCTTGTTTAGAATTCTCATACATGTATGAAGCTTTGATTCTGGTTCAGCAGTCTCAGCTGCTTTTCTTACTACTTTGAGTAAACTCTCTGAGAGGTTCTGCATATCTTTCAGTTCAGATAGCAGAGAAGAGTGTTGTTTGTATTGACTAGAAGAGATATTCATTTCAGTGATTTTCTCATTGATTGTACAATGTCTATTATTATATTACTATATCACTATATCACTATATCATTATATGATTTCTGTTATCATTGTATGACTTCAGTGATGGCCATCTCTCTCTTTTATCTCTTTGAATGGAGAGCAGTCTTCTTTGAATCTGGTTCACTGCTCTCATTTCTTTTCTCACATCTTATCTGTTCATATATATGGCATTCACCTGAATGTGGAGTTTTCTCTCAACAAGTGAAGCAGTATCAATCAGATGCTTTTTCACTCACTGCTCTTCATACACTATCTTTTTGAGGTGTTCTAGAACCACACTGGCATGATAACTATGAATTACTTTGTAGATGGAATTATCACACTCTGGAGGAGCCTGCACTTCTCACCAGTTTTTAGACATGCTATCAGATGTGATTCAAAGGTTGCTTAAGCCAGTGTATGATTACAGGCGTACGCCGGCTTCTTATATATTGTAATATCATATGCTAATTTAATTAGCAGTCGCTATGGCCCCTTTACACTTGTACACGTACGCTAGTAGTTCAGAAGCGGCCGCGGTATTATCCGACAGTCGTACGTTCTTCCGAACCACACCAGAGATCACAAAACTAGTGAGCATAAATGTGAAACATGCTCAAAAAGAGGTGAAATTTGTCAATATACTCTGCTTAAGTGCTCTAATTGCAAAGAAAAACATGCATCTAGCTCAAAAGAATGTATGTTTACTTCTAGAACTCAAAAGAACTGGAGAAAAGATGAAGCTCAAAGTCAATCTAAAACTGAAGAGAAGAGTCAAGTCAGTAAACTCATAACTACAAGCTTAAAAAGAAGAAACTCTCAACTATCTAAGTCTTCAAACTTCAATTCTCCAGCTAAATGTAAACAGAATTTAAATCCTCAAACTTCTGTTAAGATTAGAGAATTGAGAAATGACTCTGATAATAAACTAGATATAATGTAAACAGTTGAGATTTCTACTTTTCAGAACAGTTATAATCTACTATCTGATGATAGTGATTAGATTCTACTCTACTCTCTTTTAGTATGAATATACAATAAAAATAATAAAAAAAGTTTAAAAACTCTTCAAAAATCATATTTATTCAAAATAATGTGAATAGAAACTCAAACTGTATCTATTCTTGTCTTCAAATTACATTTGAATAAAAAGTTGATTTTATACTGCTTCAGAAGCTGAATTTTGATGCTGAGTAAAAATATGTCATTTCTTATTCAAGCTACTACTGCTTTTTATCTCAAAAGTCTGAGATAAAGTCAAGAGTAGTGATCTATGAAAGAAAGAGATCAAGATATTAATTTAATCTAAGATTTGATATCATATCTGATCCTGATATTCTGATGAATGATATTATAGATAAAGAAAATAAGTTTAATACTATACAGCTCATAAATATCTATAATGAAAAGTCATTGAAGAAAAATAACAATATCTGAATAATTAATAGAGAATTTCTAAACATAACTTCATCAAGAAACTCTATAATTATAGAAGATTTCAATACATATCATCTCTGATGAAATTCAGAATGCAAGAGAGCAGTGAGAGCTGATAATTTGATTGAATAAATCTTTAAGTATTCAATAGATTTGATTAATAAGTCTGATCAACAAACATTCTTTAGAAAAGATATGAAACAGAAGTCTATTATAGATCTAATCTTTATATCACAAAATCTAATGAAAAGAAGACTTGTAAACTGATTTATTAATTCAAATGAGACATCAGAATCAGATCATGAGATTATTCAATTTAATATTGAACTGAGTGAAAAACAAATAAGTGAAAATCCTCTTCTCTCTAATCAGTATAACTTTGAAAAAGCTGATTGAAAAGCAGTTGAAGAAAGCATAAAACTGTTAAAATCTGAAAGACAGAATGAGTTATATTGAAATTCTGATCAAGATATCTCAAATGAAATGCTTGAGAATAGAGTGAAGCTTATTACATCTATTATTCTAACAAGTGTTAAAGATAATATTTCAAAGAGAAAATCTTCTGAGTATTCAAAACCTTGATGAAATGAGAATATCTCATCTAAAAGAAAAGAATTAGCTACTGCTAGAAGAGATTGAAAGAATGATGTAATATCTGATGAAGAGTTTAAAGCTGTCAGAAATGAATATTTTTCAGATATCAAAAGAGCTAAAACAGACTGCTGGAATAAATTTCTTGAAGAAGCACAAGAGAAGGAAGTTTTTAAAGCTTTTAACTATACTAAAACAAGAAGTGTAGCAAAACTTTCAGTCTTAGAATATAAGTTTCAGAATGAATCATATACAGCAAACTCTTTTAAGAAAAAATATCAAGCTTTTATAAGAATTCTCTTTCAGAACTCATCAGATTCAGATTCAGATTCAGAGAAAGAGAATATATTACTTCTTAACTACATTGATGAAAATGACTGAGAATGGTCTGATCTTACACAAGATGAATTAGAGTCAGCTATCTTCTCAAGTTCTGTTAAAACTGCTGCAGATTCTGATTCAATTAATCACTTGATTATTCAAAATACATATTTCTACTTAAAGAATGAATATTTTGAGCTCTTTTTCAATCTCTTGAAAAATGAATATCATTCTGAATGCTGAAGAGAAGCCACTGAAGTGATTCTTATAAAATCTAATAGAAAAACTTCAATTCCTAAGTCATATAGAGTAATATCTCTATTGAACTGTTTAGAAAAGATTTTAGAAAAGATAATAGCTACTTAACTATCTTTTATAAGCTTTATAGATGATTCTCTTTTATTCAGTGAATAAATGAGAGATAGAAAACAGTGTTCTGCAATTGACACTGTTCTCTCAGTTGTTCATGATATTCAAATAGCAAAGCATGAGAGTCTGGTCTCAACTGTAGTTTTTATTGATATAAAAGAAGCATTTGATCATGTTTCAAAGTCAAAGTTAATTCAGATATTGAAGATATTAAAACTGTCACTTTCTCTAATAAAATGAGTTAACTGTTTTATATCTAAAAGAATTATACAACTCTTCTTTGATGGAATGAAATAAGATAAGACTGAGATAAAAATAGAAGTGTCACAGAGATCTTCAATCTCACTCATTTTATTTGCAATATACACTGCATATCAAGCCAACCGCTCCACCACGAACTCGCTCGATTTTTCGAATAAGAACCCGCCGATAGATCCATCGAAAAGCCCTCGATCATACGAGCATTCTGACCCCATCGCCGACCGCATACCCTGTGTGATGGTGGAGTTATCCAGCCAAATGTGAACCGGACGTTGTTCGAAGCTTCTGTGTGGGATTATCCCCCGTTCTCCCCTACCACACCACAACCCCGGGCCAGAGTGCCATACAAATTGTAAGGTGAAGTGACCTAGCCATATGCACCAATCTTCTCGATTTTGGAAGATCCCCGACCTGTAGTTGTGGAGATATCCGAGAAGTGACCTCCGTGAAAACCCTGTCCATCTTTGATGTTCCAAAACACCAACACCAAGTCTCACCCTCATACCGCCCTTCCCAATCTGGCCCATCCCCAGCAGAAAAATACAAAAAGATACCTCAGCAATAATATCAAGCACATAATCAATGAACTCTTCTGAAGTGTAATCTTCACAGTCTGTCACCAGTGTATCTAGACTTCAACACCAAGTCTCACCCTTGTACTATCCCTCTCAATCTGGCTCATTCTCAGCAGAATGATACAAAAAGATACCTTAGTAACAGCATTCAATACATAATCAGTGAATAATGAGTTAACAGCACATCAATAACTATAAAATCAGTATACTTCAAGATCTGACTGAGCCTTTGATCTCTGCACAGTGAGATATATTAAATCTAGTTTTAATATCTCAATATTCAATAGATTCTGCAAGAGATTGAGAACAGCAATACTAAATTTCTATTGAATTTGAGAATTAACTCTATATTGATATAATCATTGACAAAGTCTTCTATTTTAAGATATAAATAACCAGTTCCTCTACATTCTGCTGACAATATTTACATTATTATATAGAAACAGACTTATATTCTCTATAATATCAAGACTCTGAAGAGGGAAAGTCTTGATAGAGAGTATATAGTAGTGTATATCTTAGCAGTTTCTATCTCATTCTTCTGCAGCAGTTAATGCAAAAAAAAGATCTTAGAAATAGTTTTTTACTTCTCTTGAAAAAGTAAGGTGTTTTTCTCTGAGTTTTACACAATATTCTTACAAAGAATTAAAAACAGAGTTATTTTCTGTCATAATTTCATATTCTTTTAAGTAAGAATTACTTTTTCAGTGGCTGAAGAGCTTTCATTAATACTTAATTCTCTTTTACACTCTTTATTGACTGATTTGAGTTGCACACTTGTTGTGTGAGGAGAATTGAATGATTTAGAATAAAATTGAATAGTTTTAATCAATTTCTCTGCAAAAAATTGACTTATTTTTTGTCAGTTTTTCTCTCAAAAACTGTCATATTATCTGATTTATTATCAATTGATATCATACTTTTCCTCACTGTATTTCAAGAAAGAGTTTGTAAAGATTTTATTGATTTATCTTAAAAATCACTTTTAGTTTATTAGATTCTCTTCAAAAATCTAATCTAGTTACTGAACTAGTGTGAAAAAAAATTAGATGTTTTATACATAAAAGTCTTTCATTCTTCTTTTGAAACAGTCTGATCAAATTTTCAATTGAAAATAGACTAATAAATCTCTCAACTGAAACAGTCTGACTAACTTTTCATTTGAAAATAGATTAATAAATCTCTCAATTGAAACAGTCTGATCAACTTTTCATTTGAAAATATACTGATAAATCTCTCAATTGAAACAGTCTGATTAACTTTACATTCAGTGAGTAAAATGAGTTCAAGAGTACACTCAGTTGATGTGAAAAAAGATGTTTTCTCAGATGTCATTTCTGTGATTGAAATTCTAAAGAGAAGAAAGAAGGAAGAAATAGAGAAATAACAAGTTCTTGAAATACAGAAACTGGAAAAAGCAAGCAA